TGGTTCATTCATTAGGTGCTTCATTATTGCAAGGTTTCTTTCTCGTTAGTTTATTGCAGTCCAACTCCTCTATACGTAATCCGTACAAATATCTTACTCTACTAAGAGCCACGTAGGCTTGACCTTTTTCAAACAGTTTCGCACTTAAGTATACTACTGCATGATACACAGTGCTGCCCTGCATTTTATGTATTGTAGAAGCCCATAATAGTATTAAAGACAACATTCTTCTTTCAGTCGTCCCGTAATTGTACTTAGCTGAACACTGTATGGCTTTCGGGTGTATAAGATGTACTCCGTCTCTTGCGAAATTAATTCGGATGGAACCTACATCTGGGATATACCCTTAAAGCTTTGTCTATTGCAACTCGTGCCTTAAAAAAGTATTCCCATTAAAACCGACTTTCAAAGCATTCAAAATATCAATAAAAGTCTTGTCACCTTGCTGATGCATATTTTCAGTTAATTCACACAGCGTGAATAAACGCCAGAAATGTGTAGCTGGTTGGAGATTTTCTTGCTGGTGTTTTTGATCGCTTTATAGGTGGCAGTTGTAAAAGATACGTTTACTTCCCAAAAAACACTCATTTTATACCCTCCACCATGCTATGGAGGGTATATAAATTTTGTCATTTCGTTTGTAACTCCTCGAAATACTTATGTCAGACCCAACAAAGTACATATATTCTTGATCAGCGTAAAATTCTGAGACGATTTAGTTATGTCCGTCTGTCTGTGTGTCTGTCTGTCTGTCCGTCTGTCTGTTGTAATCACACTATCTTTGGAACAAATTGAGATAGAAGGCTAAAATTTTGCACACATGTATATTTTGCCAGTAGGCAGGTTAAGTTCGTAAATGGGCCATGTAGGTCCAAGTTATCTTATAGTCCCCATATAACGGTACCTCCCGATATTCGGTATTTTGATGATTTTAGCGACATTATTTACCGGGATTGTTTCAAATTTCGCATGTGAAGTTCGTAATGGATATTTCAGCCCATGCCAGAAAATTGTCTGTGCAGGTCCACGTCTTCGTATAGCCCCCATATACCATAGCCCCCTATATTCGGTGTTTTGATGATTTTGGCTACATTATAAACAGATTTTTCTTCAAGTTTCGCATTTAAATATTGTAATAACTTATGAGAAAAGTTGCCTATGCAGGTCCACGTCGTCGTATAGGCATTCGGTATTTTTAAGATTTTAACAGAATTTTTAACGGATTTTCGCAGACATGTTTATTTTGCCAGTAGGCAAGTTAAGTTCGTAAATGGGCCATTTAGCTGCACGTTCTCATATAGCCCACATATAGCGGTACCTCCCGATATTCGGTATTTTGATGATTTTAGCGACATTATTAACCGGAATTGTTTCAAATTTGATATTAGAAGTTTCAAAGGGATAGTACAGCCTTAGACAGAAAATTTACTGTGCAGCTCTACGTCCCTGAATAGCCCCCATATAACGGTACATTCCAATATTCGATATTTTGAAGATTTTAGCGACATTATTCACCGGAATCGTTGCAAATTTGGTATTTAAAGTCCCAAAGGGATACTTCAGCCTAAGACTGGAAATTATCTGTTGAGGTCCTTACGGTATTTTGATGATTTTAGCTACATTATTCACCGGTTATTTCACATTTCGAATTTGAATATGGTAATGGCTTCCGACAACAATGTATGTCCACGTCATATAAACCCCAATATAACGGCTGTATTTGGTATTTTTTAAGATTTTAAAAGAATTTTTAACGTTTTTTAGTATTTGAAAATTTCCAAATTCGTTCAAATGGTGAATGGTATTCAAAGTTCGGCCCTGCCGAACTTACTGCTTTTTATTTGTTCTTTCTCTTTTTGAATCCTTAGTTTATGTTGTGCTGCTGTTTTACTTGTGTTTGTATCTTTTTTTTTATTTTTTTACCACTTTGATCCCACGAGTAGTGGACATTTAAACGGTCGACTCCCATAGGTCCAATAAAGGGGCACGGCTATGTATAATAAGATGCGCCTGAGTCTAGAGGGCAAAACGGTAACGACATATCATTTTTACCCACTCATACAGTTCTCGCTGCGTTTTCAACTTGCACCTTAACTTGGGAATTGTACCGTTAACGACGTATCATTTTTAGCCACCCAGCTACACAGTCCTCAACACGATACAAAATCTTGACGCGGTTGATGGATTCAGTCTGAATTAATCAGTAACCAGTACCTAAATTACAGGATAAATTTCTAAATTTAAATCTTATTGTCATATGCCATTTAGAGGCTGCGCCCGTCTTAAAATTGAGGTTCTATATTGCGCTATACTCTTCTTGTCAAGCCCTTTGATTTGATACCTATATTGGTGGGATTGATAAAAAATTGTTATCAGCCATTTGGTAGCGGCGGTCTTAGATATCACTTTTGCATGGTAAATTGTGTTCTACTTGTTAAGACCCTTCATTCGATACCCGTATTGATGGGATTGATAAAAACTAAGCTATCCGCCATTTTGTAGAGGCCACCATCTTGGATTTTAATTTTTTATAGTACATTATATTCTACTGGCTGATCACTTTCATTTTATCCCCTATTGATGGGATTGATAAAACCTACGTAAGCCGCCATCATTGATTTATAATGATAATAAATAAGCATAATTGTGTTGTCACCAAAATCCAAGGTGTGTACAAAATTTCAGATCAATCGGTTGACAGGAAGAGGGTGAAATTTAAATTACTAAATTTAGCCCAGGAATAAAAGAAATGGTTGAGCTAAAAAACCCGTAAAAAAGCAGCTAAAGAAATTAAAAATTTTCAAAAAACTTCCAGAAACTACCACTTACATGAAAACTGTTATATGGTGACTATACGAAGACGTGGACCTGCTTACGAAATTTTTTCTCATAGGCTGTAGTACCCATTACGAACTTAAAATACCAAACTTGAAATAATTCCGATGAATAATGTCGCTAAAATCAAACTACCGGATATCGGAAGGTACCCTTTATGGGGGATATACGAAAAAGTAGGCCTAAAAATACAATATTCTGCCACCTAAGCTAGAGCCTATTATGACCAAAAAATACCAATTTTTAGACATATCCGTGGAAAATCGTGGCAAATATCATGAAAATACGCAATATATTAGACAAATCCGTGGAAAAAATAAAGCAAAAATCATAAAAATACCGAATATTGGGTGATACATATATTACTCCGCCACTGGAGCATTATGACCTACATATACCAATTTTATTCTAATCGGTACCCAGCGATATTCGGTATTTTGATTATTTTCGCAACATTTTCCACGCTTTTGTCTACAAATTTGTATATGTAGGTCATTATGGATTCTAGTTTTACTGGCAGATCATTGCATGTATAGGTCCACGTTTTGGTATAGCCGCTATATAACGCTACCTACCGACATTCCGTATTTTGATGATATTTGCCACATTTCTCCACGGATTAATATAGACATTAATATTTTTAGGTCATAATCGATTTTAGTTCTGATGGCGGAACATTGTATATATTGGTCCTCGTTTTTGTATAGCCCACATATAACGAAACCTCCCGATATTTGGTATTTTGATTATTTTTGTCATTTTTTCCACGGATTTGTGTAAAAATTGGTATTTATAGGTCATAATAGATTCTAGCTCCAGTGACGAAACTTTGTATGTAAAGGTCTATGTTTTCCTATAGCGCACTTAAAACGATACCCACCCATATTGGATATTTTGATTATCCTACTCACATTTACCCACGGAATTGTTTCAGTTGTGGTATTTAAGAAAATTTGTTATTGAAGTATAGAATTTCCCATATAGTTTCCCGTTTTGGAACGGACCTATATAACGGCTACACATGATTTATGTTTTTTTTTTCTGTGAAATTTTACCAGCATTATTCAAACGGTTTTATTGGTATTTGTGGTTTAAAGTGGAACAAGTTTAAATTCAGATACTTTTATAAAAAATAGTTTTCTTAAACCAATGGAGGGTATAAAAATTTCGGCGCTGCCAAACATAATGTTTCTACTCGTTTTTTATTCATATAACAATTTTTAGTCGAAAGAAGTTATCTTTCAGCTACTGGTACATGTGGTTAATAGCCCACCATGGGAGCAAAAGTTTATGGCTTCCATCCTTACTTGAATACCGTAGTTATTAATTTTTTTTCCAAATGAAATATTGAATCCCAATTTCGTAGTGTTTATTGTAAAACTAGGATATATTTTTATAAATCATTGTTATCAAGATATCGCACAATTTATTTTATAAATAGCAGAATCATTATATGATTAATTCATAGAGATCGCTAAACATTGAGCATTATCCAAACGGTTTTATTGGTATTTGTGGTTTAAAGTGGAACAAGTTTAAATTCAGATACTTTTATAAAAAATAGTTTTCTTAAACCAATGGAGGGTATAAAAATTTCGGCGCTGCCAAACATAATGTTTCTACTCGTTTATTATTCATATAACAATTTTTAGTCGAAAGAAGTTATCTTTCAGCTACTGGTACATGTGGTTAATAGCCCACCATGGGAGCAAAAGTTTATGGCTTCCATCCTTACTTGAATACCGTAGTTATTAATTTTTTTTCCAAATGAAATATTGAATCCCAATTTCGTAGTGTTTATTGTAAAACTATGATATATTTTTATAAATCATTGTTATCAAGATATCGCACAATTTATTTTATAAATAGCAGAATCATTATATGATTAATTCATAGAGATCGCTAAACATTGATGGAAAATCGCCAGAGGAAAATATGTACCTGTTGGTATGGCTAAATATGAAAAAAGATGTTCCACATGGAATATCTTTTTTTATTCGGTCTTTATCAGTATTAGTGTTTCTGCGAGGAAGTGAAGAGACTCTTTGTTCTACGCCGTCTAATTTATTGTATGTATTTTCATCTGAATTAATGAATATTTTATTTTTTAAATATAAATGTTTGTTTTACTTTTTAATTTCATTTTAACATTCCGTCGGGCTTACCATCACAATATGAACCACACTCCTCATCTTGTAGATAAGTATCCAAATCTGCGCCAAATTCTCTAGAGGAAATAATAATGCAAAGTAGTAAACGTACACATATAATAATTGTTTTTCGACTTACGCCTTAAATGAAATGTGATCTCCATTCTGAAGATATTCTTCATTTTCCATTTCATTTTTAATTTGATTATCCAACTGAATTTGACTTTCATCCTCTTTTTCAATTGTTGACAACGAATCAGCGTCTGCTAAGTTATCAACAGCGATGGCCAAGAAAACATTGAGCAAGATGTAATTACCACATATGAATAGTATTATATAATATATGCAGGCAACAATCCCAAATGAAAATACACCGCCATATGCACGAATTCCATCATACATAACTACATTCCAATCTTCACCTGTTAAAATCTGAAATTAATAATAATGAAATTAGTATCTTGAAGCTTAACACCGAAATTAAATATCTTTCGAACCTGAAAAACCGTTAAAAGGCTCTGGTAAAAACTATCGAAGTTGGATCGTGGCTTTTCTTCTTCGGGCTTGAATGTAAACCTTCCACCAAAAACTTGCATTCCGAGCAGTCCAAATATGACGATGAAAAGGAATAGCAAGAGTAGCAGGGAGGCGATCGATTGAATTGAGTTAAGAAGCGAAGCAACTAAATTAGAGAGAGAATGCCAATACCTAAAAAAATATTTATGATAATTAAAAGTGTATAATAAATATGATATATATTGTTTAGCAATTTAAATGAAACCTATTGTCATTGAAATGAAGCTTTTTGTATTTGAAAAGGGCCCTTTTGCAACGGAAATTAATGTTTTTTAATCAATTAATTTTTTTTAAATTTTAGAAAGGAATAAAACACAAAATTTTTATTCGTAGAAGCATTAACATTAAATCAATTAATGTTTGCTTATATAGTTAAATGCGAAATACTATTGATTATTAACACATATGTTAACTAATATTATTTCTTAAGTATTGTATTTACTGATTTTTATACCCTGCACCACCTTATCCTCGAAACACTCATCATCGTAAAATTCGAAGTTGATTTAGGGATGTCCGTCTGTTTTTTTGTAATCACGTTATCATTCGAACAAATTGAGATAGAGGGCTAAAATTTTGTAGACACTTGTAAACTGACAAAATACACAGGCTGGTTGAATTGAAAAATGGGTCATGTCGGTGCACGTTTTCATATATTCCCCATATAACGATACCTCTCGAAATTTGTATGCCCTTCAACATTCGGAAGGAGCTAGAAAAATTAAAACAAAGACCGCTCAAATGAAAACCTTTGGGGGGCTATATAAAGACGTGTTGCTGGATAAGTACCCATTACGAATCCCAAATTCGTAATTTGACGCAATTCCGTAATGTTCGTAATCGATTCTAGCTCCGATGACTAAACATTGCATGTATAGGGCCAAGATTTGGTATAGTTCCCATACAACGATACCTCCCGATATTCGGTGTTTTGATGGTTTTTGCACATTTTTTTTCACGGATTTGCCTGAAAAGTGGTATTTGAAGCTCATAGTGGGTCCTACTTCGTGCGGTAAAACATTGTATGTATAGGTCCAGGCTCTGGTATAGCCTTAATGGGTTCTAATGTTTCCTTTACCCGAAGGTGGAGGGTATTAAAAGCTCAGCCCGGTCGAACCTAATCTTTTTTTACTTGTTAAGGGGTAAAGTAGTCACGAAGAACTCCTTGTGTAGAACTTCAGGCAATTGCATTGAAAAATTTGGTTAAAATCATCAAAATACCGAACATGTGGGGGAGTACCGTTATATGCGGGCTATACGATATCGTGGACCGACATAGCCCATCTTCGAACTTGATCTGTCTGCTGATGAAAGACAGATTGGTTCAACATTTTAGCTTCCTATCTTTATTCGCTTTAACTCAAGTGTGATTTCAAACGACGGACGGTCGTCTTTGGATTTTACGCTGATCAAGAATATATATACTTTTTTGGGTTTATAATTATTATTTCGATGAGTTACAAACGGAATGACAAAGTTATTATACCCCCATACTATTGCATGGTGGTACCTCTATATATTTTTTAATGATTTTAGCGACATTACAGACCAGAATTGTTTAAAAAATTCCTATTGGAAGGTCTTAGGGGTACTAAAACCTTTGACAAAGAATTCGATATTCGTTATTGTGACGAATTTAGATACATTATTTGTGGGAATTATTTAAAATTTTGTATTTGCATTTCCTCCCAACTCTGGTACCTCCCTTTTTCGGTATTTCGATTATATTAGCGATACGATTCAACGGAATTGTTTTAAATTTCATATATGAAAGTCTTAATGGGTGCTACTGCTTATGACAAAAAATGCGTATTCAGGAACCCGCCGTCGTGTAGACCCAATTAACAATTTTTATTTAGATGGTATTTTTGACGAAATTTCTTAACGTGTTGCAAGTTCCTTCTAAATGGCGAAGGGTATAAAGAGTTATTCTATTGAGTAGGATTTTAAATGCATCACATTTTCTCGTACATTATTTGGTTATCTTACAATTCACAATGTACGTAAAATTAAATAGCTACAGGAAGACAAAAGATGCAGCCTTAAATTCTTAACATTGTATTCACCAGTGCTAAATAAATTGGAGAATCTTAACAGAAGGTTGCTCATATCTACACGATATCGTGGAGCTATGTAGATAATTCTTTAGGTAACTTCTTGTGTGGATTTTCAGACAATTCCTCGCGAATTTGTAGATTTTGAGACAATTCCACTGAAAAATGAGGCTATAATATTTAAAATACCGAATATCGGGATGTACCGGTATATGGGGCATATACGATATCGTGGAGCGATATAGCCAATCTTCGAACTTGATCTGTCTGCTGATGAAAGACAGATTGGTTCAACATTTTAGCTTCCTATCTTTATTCGCTTTTACTCAAGTGTGATTTCAACCGACGGACGGTCGTCTTTGGATTTTACGCTGATCAAGAATATATATACTTTTTTGGGTTTATAATTATTATTTCGATGAGTTACAAACGGAATGACAAAGTTATTATACCCCCATACTATTGCATGGTGGTACCTCTATATATTTTTTAATGATTTTAGCGACATTACAGACCAGAATTGTTTAAAAAATTCCTATTGGAAGGTCTTAGGGGTACTAAAACCTTTGACAAAGAATTCGATATTCGTTATTGTGACGAATTTAGATACATTATTTGTGGGAATTATTTAAAATTTTGTATTTGCATTTCCTCCCAACTCTGGTACCTCCCTTTTTCGGTATTTCGATTATATTAGCGATACGATTCAACGGAATTGTTTTAAATTTCATATATGAAAGTCTTAATGGGTGCTACTGCTTATGACAAAAAATGCGTATTCAGGAACCCGCCGTCGTGTAGACCCAATTAACAATTTTTATTTAGATGGTATTTTTGACGAAATTTCTTAACGTGTTGCAAGTTCCTTCTAAATGGCGAAGGGTATAAAGAGTTATTCTATTGAGTAGGATGTTAAATGCATCACATTTTCTCGTACATTATTTGGTTATCTTACAATTCACAATGTACGTAAAATTAAATAGCTACAGGAAGACAAAAGATGCAGCCTTAAATTCTTAACATTGTATTCACCAGTGCTAAATAAATTGGAGAATCTTAACAGAAGGTTGCTCATATCTACACGATATCGTGGAGCTATGTAGATAATTCTTTAGGTAACTTCTTGTGTGGATTTTCAGACAATTCCTCGCGAATTTGTAGATTTTGAGACAATTCCACTGAAAAATGAGGCTATAATATTTAAAATACCGAATATCGGGATGTACCGGTATATGGGGCATATACGATCTCGTGGAGCGATATAGCCAATCTTCGACCTTGACCTGCCTGCAGACAAAAGACAGATCTATACAAAATTCTACCTTCCTCTCCCAATTTGTTTTGACTGTTGCGTGATTACTACAGATGGGTCAATCGTTTAGAGTTCTGGGTTCTTTGGTCAAATTTTATTGAGGCCCCTATATAGTTGTGATCGTACACACTGTTTAGCTCAGAGAGGCTCCGCCGATGGGAGTGAAATGCCGAATGCGACGAGCAGTCGACCGTAGGGTGACATGCAAAAAAAAATAATTACTCGTTAAAACGTCGAAGGCGCTGGCACAAGCCGTAACGCATACATTCTAACGAATAATTAAGGACCAAACCAGCGGTCAATAAAAATCAATATTTAATGCAAATCTAAATTAAACATGCCGACCCCCTTGAAACATCAAAGCATGTTTCAACAAAATTAAACTTAATCTAAATAAGTTCCGATGGTAGGTATAGTATGCATAGTGCAATGTGAGCTTTTTATTCGAACAAAATGTAGGGAATGGAAACGCAAATGAATCAGCGGTAACAGATACGGACTTCAATCAAGCTATATTAGTACACGAAATGTAATACTTTGAAGCCGCAGATGAACCTGCAGTTACAGATTCGGACTTCAATCGAGCTACGTTTTTCCCGAAAGGATGTTCGCTAGGCCGATTTCATGAGAAGGTCGTCTTACAACATTGCTTACTTAATTAATTTGTTTTTATGATTTCCATCCAATGCTCTAATGAAGGTTTGTAGAGGAGCGAAGGCGATAATTAAATGAAGAAATGCCGAACAATTTTGGGGAAAAATGCAAAAATTAATACAAAAACAATTTTATTTAAAGCGAAAAGACCAAACAAAAAGAATAATATTGCGATATTTGCTTAAGGTAGTAAAGCACACCAAACTAAGAACTAACAACGACGACGTGTTTGTTTGTTTTGTTGTTTTACATGAACCAAAACAACGAAAATTAGCAAACGATTTTTGCAACAATTTTATTTTCGAGTTTTGTTTTGATTATGATCCTGCCGAATGCAAGCATCCAATTTAGAAGCCAACGATTGGCGGGAAACAAAACAAAAGAAAGATGTGACGTTGTAAAACGACCTCTGGATCTGAACAAAACCGAATTTGTTATTGTCAAGGCAATTTAATAACGCGAGCTCACTTGAAAACACTGCACTATACGTACCTTGTAATGCAGGAGTAATGGACTGTTTAATTGATTTATAAAGGATCCAAGTATCCATACACAAACGATGATCCAAATCCGGCTCGAAGAACCAAATGTTTAGCTCAGAGAGGCTCCGCCGATGGAAGTGAACGAAACATGCGTCGAGCAGTGGACCGTAGGGTGATATGCAAGAAATTTAAATAAAAACAAAAGATTTTTTTTTCTTAGAATTAAATCCAACTATTTATTCTTAGTTTGGTTAGTGGTAACGATATTACCTTTGGCAACAATAGGCCTCTCTATGCACAACGATATGTGCTTGCCATCGATTTAGCCGATGTAGTCTGTCCGAATGACAGCGTAATACTACTTGATGTCTACATAAGGCGGCAAAACAAGTGGTAAATAAATGCTCGTTGAAACGTCGAAGGCGCTAGCACAAGGTTGCAATAAGCCGCAGCGCACACATTTTAACGAATAATTAAGGACCAAACCAGGGGTCAATAAAAATCATTATTTAATGCAAATCTAAATTAAACACACACAGATACCCGTATATTTGGAAATATATTTCGCAACATTTAGGATTGAGCTATAAAATGTTATAGATCTCTTTGGATTATATCCAGAAACATTGG